TTTAATAAAGATTGTTTAGAATTTAATTTCGTTTTTTTGGCTAGTTTTTTTTTGTTCTTAACAGTTCTATTAGCAATTATTTCCAAAAATTCAATAGGGCAAAATATACATTCACTTGCTAAATAATTTTCAAGAATATTTGATTTACCATATTGATATTTTTTGTTACAATTATAACATATTGTTGAAAAATGTTTGTGACTTTTATCAATAGCTGTTTTATAAAAATATTATTAAACAATTGATTCTGGTTATCCAATTGTATTTTTTGATAATAAAGAAATTATTTGATTGTTATTACTTTGCATTTTTAATAAATGAATGAATAGAAAAATAATAAATTTGTTATTTTCATTTTTATTTATTTTTTTAAATTTAATTGATTAATAATTGCAGTATAATTTCAGTATTGTGACAAATCTTATAATTATATTATATTGATTTAATTGCAATATAATTGTGGCAAATCACATAATTGTATTATATTAATTTAATTGTGACAAATTAAATAATTGTGTCATATTAATTTAATTGTAATACAATTGTGACAAATTTAATAATTGCAGCAAATCATATGATTACATCATATTGATTTAATTATGACAAATTTATATAATTGTATTACAATTGCAACTTGTAACATATTAATTATAACATTATGGAAATTTCAAATAATTAAGTCAATTATAAAATAATTTTAGCCACATATATAATAATTATCAATAGTTTATTATTATTAAAGAAAAACTTTATTAATGAAGAATAAAGCAGACAACTCTAAAGATAATTAAAAAAAAGATATAATCTTTAAATTCATGTTTTTTCAATATAAATAAATTGAATAAAAATATATAAAAAACAATATACATATAATTTTAGTGATATTCTTTTGAAAGATTATATATGTATATATAATTAATAAAATAATAATGAAAAAAAAAATAAAACAAGATAATAAATATAATATAATATTAATTAAACATATTAATAATATTCCATAACCTTTTATATTAATTAATAATTAATAATATATGTTAATTAGTAAAATCATATTGAATTAATAATTACTATAAGTTTCAAATTTTGTATTATTTCAAAGCTTTTGATAAAAGTGAATAAGAACTGCTAGTAGATCTATTGATTTTCAAATACATGGCTATACCTATTTTTACAAACTTTACTATCAGGAGGCCTTAGTAAAAGAAAAAATCCATAGATTACTTTAAAAAACCAAAATCCAAGATTTAGAATATTGAATTCAATAGTCTAATAATCAGATTACTTTTAATACAAAAATAATTATCTTGAAAATATTTAAAAAAAAATTGTATATCTTTCTGAAATAAAATGGTCTGATAAATTATTTAAGTTTAGATAGTATTTGTATATAACATTATGTAATATAGATATATAACTACTTATATATAGTTAGATTAACTATAAATATATATGTATAATACTTGTTAATGTATATAACTTAAGATATATTATAGAAATATACAATATAAAATGTATTACTAAATAATAGTAAACACTATGAGTATATAAATTAATAAAAAATATGGGTTGTAATTAGTAGAAAATAAATAGAAATAGAAGATAAAATTATAAAATATTTATAAACTAATAATCCCACTTGTATAACAAAATGAAAAGATCTTTAAGAAAACATAATATCATGTTCGTGAATCAATTAGTAAACAAAGAATTTAGCATGCTTCTAAATTAAAAAATTATACAATCTCTAAACAATTAAGGAAAGGGACCTATTCCAAGATGGTACTAGATGATTAAGCAAATATTAGCAAATGAGTTTGATGTTCTCAAGCCAAGATGGTCAAGCTTCGATTAAACAACACAAAACAAAATGCTCTTTATATTGAACAAACAGAATGATTATAGAAAATGGAATTGGCAAGTAAATACTGACAACAGTACAGAACATAATCTCATTTGGTTCAGAAGTAGAAGCATCCAGAAAACAAACAATCAGAGAATAAAGTACTTTCAAATCAGTATAAAAGCTAGTTCCAGTATGACCAAGTTCACAAAAATAAAGAACAACCAAGAAAACACCAATGGAAATCCATTACTTTTTTTCAATTGGATAAACAAGATTGCCAAATATCAAAGAAACAAAGAACTATTAATACCAATAGAAATTCACATATTGGAAAATCAAGCCAAGATTTAGCTGGAACAACTTTAAATTAGCACTATAACACTATTCAAATTGCAATATATAAAGATCAAAAACAAATTATTCAAGACAATATTATGTCTAAAGAATATTATATAGAATTAAGTCTCAAATACAAACTTAACAACAATAGTAACTACAAAGGCAATTATCAATTTTATACAGATGGTATTATGGGTAAAGCACTAAACCAATCCATAAGAATAGAAGCAGCCTGGTTACAAACAGAAGAACCAAATCCAGGAAGATCATTCCAAGCAGTAGTTGACAATTGGCCATCATTCACAAGAGCAGAACTAATAGTAATCCTCTTAATAATTCTATCAGTTCCAAATGATAGTAATATAAAAATTAGAACTGATAATGCCACTTGCATTAATACTTATGTAAAAACAAGCAAGCAGCATTCCAAGAAAACACTAAAAAGACAAATAAAAATATTTAATTAGCAACTATAGTCAAGACTGGTGAATACAGTTATGAAAATTTAAACTTGTCAAAATTAAAGCATATAACAAAGATATATTGAACAATTAAATTGACCAACTAGCCAAGGTCACAAAAGAAAAAATAGAAGTTAAATAAAAAGCACTATCAGTAATAACTTCAATCACAGTACTTGCATAGAATTACATTTCAATTAATATTTTAGCAAGAGCATTTATCAAGGACTATAACAAAAGGAAAATCCTAATACAATAGATATCTTTTAATAGAATACAGTAAGGATAGAAAGAGTAAATAGATAATTGTAATACTATTAACTGAAAAGATTTCTGGTGGCATAACAATAACAAGAAATTACTAACCACATTTTTTAAATAAATAAAACTTAGAACATTCAAAACTAAACTTATATACAATGAACTGTTAACAATAGACAACTTGATATAATGTAAAGCCCAAGAATTACCAGCATGTATCAAATGTGTTTTTTGTTAAAAGCAAGATGAAATACTAGATTACTTGCTAATTTGCAAAGAACTTTAAGAAGAAAGAAACCAAATATGGAATAGTATCCTTAATAGACTTCTTATACTATGGATTCCAAGAAATACTAAGAAAGATAAAGAAAAAGAAAAATGGAATCCAATCTTAATTAAAATATTGATGGAGAAGTAAAGAAAAAACAAGTTATCATTGACAAAAAAAGCTATCAATATTAGTATAAGACTTTGGACAAAAGATGAAATCCTAGAATGAACCAATACCCTTTAAACAATTTAAATATATAAAGTATCTACATGGAAAATTTTAAACAAAATATTACAATTTTGTATTAAACATTTTCATCAACAGATATGAAATACAAGATATAAGAGAATCCATAAACATAAAAAACCTGACGATAAAGGAAAAGAGAAAAGAAGAGACCTTAATCTCAAATCAAATAACAGGGCTACACTATAAGAGAAGAAAAAGAAGATGGATCAGATATCTGGAAATAGAAACAAGACAAGAAAAAGATGAAGCCAAGAAACAAATGATTTCAAAGATCTACAAATGAAAAAGAGAAAAAACATAATATTCAAGCAATAAAATTCAAATGAAAACATTAAGAAGCTCACAGAAGTATTATGGAACAAAATCAGAGAGGAAATCAAATGGTTAGGAATATAAAGTAATCAAGATCTTGCTAAGATAAACTGTAATGATAAACTGTAGGTGATGAACTTAAAGCTTTCAAGAAATAACAGCAATGAGGAAGCAACTTTATTCATTTCCATAGTCATATCTAGAGATTTTTAATTAGCAATGGATATTCAAGTATTAGCTTAGTTTATGCATAAAAATCTTTGTACTATTACACTGTTATTTGAAATGTTAAATAAACACAATAAATACTTGCTTGATTATGGAAAATATATATATATATATATATTAATATTTAACTATCTCAATATCTTTCATTCAATACTGAGTAAATAATCATAGCTACTTGGAGCCACTTGATAAGATATATTGGTTTAAAATTTCTTTTCAATATTAGTTAAGTAGTTACTGTAGACAAGTTAGTATTTAACTTGTTATATTATTACATATGAAAGATGTTACAATGTATACTCAATTCTATACAAATTAAATAAAGAAATGATGTTTACCTACAAAAAAAAAAAAAATTAATTGTTTTTTTATGAAATAAATTTTTGTTAACTTATCTGATCAAGATTCTTATAAAAAACTTGATTAAAATAGGGTTGTGTATACAATATTTTTTTGTAATAAGTTAATTTTTGATTTAATAAACAAATAATTCCAGCTTGATTGAAGGATATAAAAAAAATAAAAATAAAAATAAAAATACTCAGTAAATATAAAACATCTTATCCTTTAATTATAGGGAAACATGATATAAAATGTAAAATAAAATAAAAAAATCCAAAATATAAATAATAATCGCATGGCTTTGGATTCAGTTATTGTTTTTTTCATAAATTCTATTTCATATTCGGTTGTTTTTTTCATAGTTAATTCATATTTTTTAATATAATTTTTAATTTTAATTATCTTCAAAAACGACTACCCTTATATACTTATAATTAATTCAATATAGACATTAGTTATAATTATCTAATACATGATAAATTTTATACGCTCAATAATATCTTTCTATTACTAATAATCATTTTTTAATTATTAATAAACGAACAATTATTAAATATGTCAGATAGTTCATTACCATAGATTTAGTCGATGAGGAGAAAATTTACCTTCAAATGTAGGAACATGCCAATAAAATATGTGGCATGATAATAAAAACAGTAAAATAAAATAAAATACTATTGTATATTCGAACCATTTATCTACGTAATCGCTTTTTGAATCTCTCTGCTACAATATCATCTGTTGCCATTTCTCGACGAGTTCCAGGCTTGTTATGATGTGAATTTTGATGTGATTGTTCTGGATTAGCTCTTTCATGATCACTAACAGTTGGGCGGGTTCGATAAACTAGAAAAAATAGATCGGGTTAAAGTTTTTTAAAATATAGATTTATTTATTACATATTGTTAAGATGCTTACATCTGTTGGTGGCCGAAAAATTTGATCCTTCAAACTTTATTTGGTAAGGAAAAAAGTAGAAATAAAGAGAACCATTAGTCTAATTATGATTTAGCAAACTAAGAATACTATCAATTCGGACGTACGGTATCTTTTTCTTCTTTAGGCTTGTTATGCCGTTGTTCCAATAACTTGCGTTTCGCTTTTTCCGTTTCCTCAATGTTCTTTAGTCGAACACTTAATGAAAAATAATTTTTTAGTTTTTTTTTTATTTAATAATCATGAAGTTAAACAAATGACTCACTCTATTCCCAAGTCAACTTCTGGTATAGCAGTAAGCATAGTCGTCGATAGTTGCACATTGCCTTCAGATATTGGTTTGCTTTCAATCTAAAATAGATCAAAATAAATGGATTGAACATCACTTTAAATGAATAATAAACTGATGTTGCGTTTAGCTCACTCGTAAATGTTCGGGGGCCTGGAATAGTTCGTCTTGAGGGTTGGAGGGTCCAGCTGCTTCAGCATCATCTTCCTCTTTTTTTGAATTTGTTAATTGTCCTCTTCGTTTACGCATTTCTTCTTCTATGTATGCCATCCTAGATATCCAATAATATAAGGCTATTGAAAATGGTTGATAGGTATTTTTGGCGGCAAAACAGAAGCAGAAACTATTTACATGTGCTTATCGACATCCAATGTATTCGTTTGTTTTGTAAATGAGTCAAGCATGATCTTTTTTTCAACATCTTCATCAGAGTCTCTGTTAAAAGTCAAAATATATAAAAATATATAAATATATATAAATATACCTATGCGCGTATATATAGGTCAATGTGTGTAAAGGTCACATAAAATAACTCACTTATCCTCTTCTTCGACGTCATCTATCTCCTGCATTCCTCCTAGAATCGACCTTCGTGGTTCTTCATCCTTTTTCTTTTTTTTTGCTTTTGCTTCTCCTTTTGAAAGTCTTTCAGCATCGATTCCCTGGGGTCTTCGACGATATTTACGAAGTTCTATAAGTTCCTTGAGTGTTTCGCTGCGAGTAACAAAATACTTTGCTATAAGTTCGAGTTTATATAACATTTTAGAAAATAAGAATCATTAAAGCAAATCAGTATAATTAACTGAGATGAGAATCTTACTTCAAGTCTTCTGAATTTTCATCGTCACCAACGTTTGAATTATTATTAAACTCATTGTCTTCGTCTTCAGAAGATATTGCTTTTTTACGATAATTACGTTTTTTGCTAGATTTGCTCAACATGTTTATAGATCACGTCTTTCGATGCTCTATTATGGTTTTTTTATACCCTACGCCAAATTTGGTTAGTGAGTTAGATTCTCGAAATGGTGACTTTCCGGAAATTGTCAAATTAAACTTATTTATATAAAAGATTTCAATACACGTATTTAGAGTTTTCCTCATATTTCTATTACGGCATGAAGCAAAGATTTTCCGCGCTTGATGTACGGGCTACAGTATCAGATCTGAAAGAAAGGTATATAAAATAGATCAGTTTCTCGATAAACTTTATTTACCTAACAAGATCTTGATTATTTACAGAATCGTGGGTCTAAGATTGCAAAATCTTTACGACATAAATTCAAAAACTTATTTATTCAAGTTTTCCAAGGTTCTTATTTGAATGAAACAGTTACTTGAGAGGAATTAAATAGTTTAAATTGCTATTAATTGATCAAAAACATTGACAATATTAATAATAACAAAGCCAGATAGAAAAGAACTCTTGTTGATAGAATCTGGCATAAGGATTCACATAACACAATTCTCTCGTGACAAATCGATCAGTCCATCGCCCTTTTGCTTAAAGGTAAATAAAAATTATTTACCAACATGTCATTTCACGTTAATTTACATTTATTAAATTCTTTTTAGATACGGAAACACATCAAAACACGAAGATTAACCGATGTTAGACAATTAGGTGTCGATAGGATCATTGACTTTGAATTTGCCGGTGTGGGAGAAGGGACCACGTACCACATTATTGCCGAGTTCTATGCTTCAGTAAGCTGTATTTGGATCACATGATAAATGCTTTTGTTATACATATTAAATCTAGATTTTAATTTGTTACTATATTCTCTTAATTCAAGGGAAATATTATCCTCACGGATCACAATTATATGATATTGGCTCTGTTACGTGTTGTCCAGCCTAATGAAAATGAGAGAATAGCAGTTGGTCAGACTTATGATGCAAATGCTGCTGTTCGTGTAAGTGGACCGGTAATTCAGGCTCGCTTGAGGGAATTACTCACTATTAAATCACCCGAAGAAGCGAAAGAGCCCCTGAGGAGAGTGTTAAATGCTAAATTGAGTACGTATAATTGAATTTGATGTTTTCTAGTATTAATATTATAGGAGAGCACATGTATATAACTATTCTATTTATTTCTAGATTATGGACAGTCATTAACTGAACACGCGATTCGTTTTGCACATATTGACCCGAATATGAAAGTTGGAACAATTGATATTACAGGTCTATTTTAATGGGTTCATGATAATTCCACTGTTAATTTCATAATGACAATTAGTATCTTGTAGACTCCAAATATTTAGAAGCTTTAGAATCTGGGTTTTCCGAAGCAGATAGAATCATAGAAGAATGTGCTAAATCCAAACAAAAGGTATTATGTTATATTTATAAAGGATGTTCGTATAATACACAATTATTTATCAGTTGTAGTGGCATATATAGGGTTATATAATTTTGTTACAAGCCCCCAACGAACTTAACAAAGAGAATGATTGGGAAACGTGAGTCGTTATTTTACATAATATTCTTGATTGCCTATGAAATTTACTGATTTTCTTCGTTTCTAGTTATGACGAATTTCATCCATATCTTTTTGAACAACATCGATCAAAAAATTACAAAGAGTTTGATTCATTTGATCTTGCTGTGGACGAGTATTATTCTTCAATGGAAGCGCAAAAATTGATGCTTAAGCAAAGGAACCAAGAGAAAGCAGCAATGAAAAAATTAGAGGTTATTAAGAAGGAACAATATTTACGAGTTGAAAATCTTCAGAGTGCCCAAACAATAAACATTCTTAAAGCTAAGTTAATCGAAGAGAATGTAGAAATTGTGGATCAAGCAATTTTGGTAATTAGGAACGCGATCGCAAACTCCATGGATTGGAAAGATTTAGAAAACCTTGTGATGGAAGAAAAGAAACAGGGCAATCCGATTGCGGCTGTAATAGCGGGACTAAAATTAGAAACGAATCAAATTACCTTATTATTAAGGTGGGTTTTAATTTTATCTAATTTTATTCTACTTTGTTGGTTTCGTCTTATTGACGATACCTTCAATATTTTAGAGAGAAAGAAAGAAACGACGATGCTTTTTATGATTCTTCAGATTCTGAACCGGAAAATGAAGAAAAAGTTGATGTTGATATTAACTTATCAGCCTTTGCGAATGCCAGAAAATATTATGATGTGAAAAAGCAATCCGCGATGAAAGAATATAAAACATTGGCTATTGCCGAAAAGGTTATATGCTTGAATTAGACTTTTAATGAAATATCCCTAAATCATTAATCGTATTGGTATATTTCTATTTTTAGGCTTTCAGGAGTGCTGAACAAAAGATTAAACAAGATCTTAAAGAAACAAAAATCACTGCATCCATAAATAAAATTCGTAAGCCTTTTTGGTTTGAAAAGTTTCTTTGGTTCATTTCTTCAGAAAATTATCTTGTCATTGCTGGTCACGACATGCAACAAAATGAACTGTTGGTTAAAAAGCACTTGCGCAAAGGTAGATAAATAGACTCGTAACTATTTCAATTGTTTAAATTAGACAACCTTTTGGATTATGAATTTATGTTCTTTGTAGGTGATGTCTACGTTCATGCTGATTTGCATGGCGCCGCCTCAGTGATAATTAAGAATCCTAACGAGAGCCAACCAATACCTCCCAGTACACTTTATCAAGCCGGTTTTATGTCAGTTTGTCAAAGCAAAGCTTGGGAAGCGAAGATTGTTACAAGTGCTTATTGGGTTAATGCAGAACAAGTAAGCTTATTCACTTCTTTCGTGATGATCGACCCTGATTCGACAAGTCTTATTCATTTTTTTTAGGTATCTAAAACTGCTCCCACCGGTGAATACCTAACAACCGGTTCGTTCATGATTCGAGGTAAAAAAAACTTTTTGCCTCCTGTTCAACTGGTATATGGCTATGGTTTGCTTTTTCGTTTGGATGAACAAAGCGTTCCAAATCATTTGCATGAACGACGCCCTTTAAGCATTGAAGAGGAAGCGGTTGAGAGGAAGCAAGCTATGAACAAAGTAAAAAAAAAGAAAAAGACATAATTTTTCTTCATAGCACCTAAGAGTGCTCTTTCCGATCATTAATTAATTAATTAATTTTATAGAATCAGGACACCAAGGAAATTTATGTTGTCGATGATGATAAAGATGATGATGACTCAGATGGTAAGAGTCATTAGTTATTCATTCCTTAACGCTTTATATTGAAAATTTTCTTTTGGAATTTACTAGAAACTGAGCAAAACACAAAAAGTTCAAATATAAATGAAAATGACAAATATCCAGTGTATCAAACGCAAGTAGAAAATACTCAGATAGATATTGATTCTTCAGAAAAACTACAATCTCCTATATGGGATAAGTATAATCTGCATGAATTTGGGGATGATCACGATGAGGAGAAAAATAATGATGAGATTCTGGAAGATAAATCAGTAATTATCAAAATGATTTCTGGACTTGTAAAATAGTATTTAAATCTGTTGATTTATTTTATGTTAACTTACTTAAATGTAGAAAAAGAAACACATGTCGGCGAAAGAAAGAAGGTTGTTAAAGAAAAATGTCCAGTCTGGTAATGGGAGCAACGATATTTTGCCCGGACCTTTTGTTGCTAGCTCTTCGGGAACGTCGGTTGTCATTTCTCAAGAACAAAAATCTTCCAATAAAAAGCAAGTAAAGTCAACATCGACACCTCGAGGTAAAAAGGGAAAAATGAAAAAGTTAAAAGACAAATATGCGGATCAAGATGAAGAAGAAAGATCGTTGCGTATGGAGTTGTTAGGTGTAAGCTTTTTTCGCACGATTAATTGATTTAGCATTTAACAGTATGATATTGATTATAACATCTGCTATAGTCAAGTAAAGCACCGCAACAGAAAGGTAAAAAAGGCAAGAAGGAAAGTTCGAGTCTAGTTGCACCTAAACAATCTAATGATAGTGGTAAAGACGAAACTAAAAAAAAAGAGATAATTCGCGACAATGCGAATGATGATTCTACACATAATCAGGAAGGGCTTGAAAACAACAATTTAGTAAGTGTGAATACATTCTTTTATTTCTTAGTGCTGTTCAGTGCCATTAATAGATTGTAAAACAAAATTAGGTCGATGATATCGAAAACGAAGAAGATGCTGAGGAAGTTCGTCAGCTTTTAAGGGAAGAAAATATTATTGTTTTAGAGGCTGAAGAATTGGTAAATTGTATTTTAAGATTTCTTTTTATTAAAAAAATAGATAAATAATGAAAGACTTAATTTGATTATTTTAATTTATTGATAGGAGAATTTGACCGTTCTCGATTTTCTAACAGGGACACCGCTGCCTGATGATATTCTTCTTTTTGCTGTTCCAGTGTGTGCACCTTACATATCATTACAAAAATATAAGTATAAAGTTAAACTAACTCCAGGTGCAATGAAGAAAGGAAAAGGTATGATAGATATGTATTCTCCTGCTTCAATTTAACATTTACTTATCATCTTGCCTATACTTGTGATCAAGCTTGCAAGATGGCCACCAACTTCTTTCTACACGACCCTACAATAACACCGCGCGAAAAAGAATTAATAAAGAGTGTTCCTGATACAGAAATGATTTCAGTAATGATTGGAAAGTGCAAAGTGTCCGCCCCAAATATTGAACTGTCTAAAAAAGTGGCAAGAAAACAAAAGACATTTGCTAAAAGACAAGAATAGTGTAATAAAATAGTATATATTTACTTTACATTATGGGAGAAGTAAAATGTAATAATTGATTCTTCGTTCGATATATTATTTAAACATATGATAAAGAATTTACTACCGATGTTATATTCGTGTATAAATATGTTTAATTGATTATTATTGTAAATATTTATAAAGAACCAATAAAATTATACAGTATGTAACATTCAAAATTGGAAATCAAACAATTATTGTCTATATAATAATATATAGTAAAAATATTCTGGTTTTGAATGTTACATACTGTATGTATTATATTATGCTATATATTGTTACTTTATTTATTTATATTAAAAAAAATAAAAAGTTACTAGTTTTTCTTTGACAATATCTTATTTATAATATTTATAACATTATATATTATAGTGATATTAAACATGTTCAAATTCAAAAGTCAAGCACATGTCAAATAAGCATTGTTCTATAAGCCAAGCATACTGATCACAAAACAAATACAGGAGAGATCTCCATCCAAAAAAAATTTTCAAAAATTTTTAAAAATAATATTGATATTTTAAATAATTATAATTACCTTTCTATAATAGATTCCATTATCTGTTATATAGTTACATAATTTTTTAGAGTTCATTTTAATTGATATATCATTAAACTATGAAGTGTTATAATATTTATTAGATGTTCAAACAATTTTATTATTCTCTATTTTTTTTTTTTTTTTTAGGTGAAAGATGCTTTGTGCATATACATTTTATTGAGTTATTTATATCCAATTACATATATACTAAAGTCTATTTAAGTTAATCTCACTCTATACCTATAGACTTACCCAGTATATTAATTGAACATCATAAAGGTAGATCTGTACTCTAGATGAAATCTTTAGGAAATAGAAATCCTATCACTAGTTTTAAACTATTTAATCTAATCTAGAGGTACAATTATTATTTTTCAGGAGGTTTTTATAAAACATCCAGATATCCTGTATATATTTTTTTATCCAGAACCTTGAAGAATTCACTATTCACTATTATATCTGTTTCAAATATTATTAATATAAAATTATTTATTGAAATATTCAAAAAATTAAAATATAATTTTAAAACATTTTCAAGATTTTCAAATCCTTGTTTATAATTTTTATTATCTTTTAAAAGAATTTAAAATACTTCATTTATCAACTTTTTTAAAATTTTTAATTCAAATTTCTATAGTTTATTTGAAAATATAAATATTTTTAGAATAATTGTTTGTTCTTTAGAGCTTTGTAAGATTTTATAAATTATTATTATTATTATTATTATTTAAAGCTAAGTATATTATATGTGAACTTTTATTAATTTAATATTGAAGTTATATTTTATTAATTATTATTTTTTTTTTTGTAAATAAATATCATTTCTTTATTTAATTTGTATAGTGATAAGTATACATTGTTAAAGAAACAACATCTTCCATGTATAATAGTACAACAATTTAAATGCTAACTTGTCTACAGTAATCACTAGACTAATATTGAAAAGAAATTTTAAAACAATATATTTTATCGAGAGGCTCCAAGCAGTTATAATTACCTATTCAACATTGGATAAAAGAAAATTAAAATAATTAGAAATTAATTTGGAAATGCACTTAGTAAAATTAAATCTGCTTCGGATATAAGAATCAGAAACTAATGTAAGTAAATCTATGATAGTTGATGTTGAAATGGAGAAGTTGTTGGGAAATTTGGGTTTAACTGAGTTATTTTTCTTTGATTCTAAAAATATATATATAATATTATTAGATATTTCAAAAGTTTGTTAATTAATTTATATACTTACATTTTGTATAAGTTGTTTTTGATATTTTTTTTATTACTTAAATAATAAAATTGTTTAATATGTTTCTTATGAAGACTTTTGTAAGTTTTTAAAATAAATCCATTAATTATTCCATATTTTTGAATAAATAAATTATATGATATATCCATAAATGTAATTTTGAATATTTTAGTTGTAAAGCTGAAAATCTTTAAAATATTTTTATAAATTCTCACATTTATATATTAATAAACTCCTATAATAAAATATATTTTATAATATTTTATAATATAATTAAATAAACAATTATTTCATACCTCAAATTTTGTTTAAATTATTTTTGGAAAACTTTTTATATCTACTAATTATGACAATTCTTTAATATTTATATTTTGTGTACTTTCATTATATATATTATCCATTACAAAAATCATAACTTTTATTAGATTTTTATATTTATTTGCAATTAGTTTTACAATAAATTAAATACTATACAAAAAAATTTTTAATCCCAGAAATCTTAAAATTTGTATAAGTCTTTAATCCATTGTATTTAAAAGTAAAAGATCACGAAGGTCCTTTAATAATACTTATATATATTCAATTTAATATTGAAAAAAATCCAAATTAAGATAATGCATTTTATTTTATACAGTTGCTTCATATATATTTATTTTGTTATACATTAATAAAATTTAATTTAATTTTATAATATATAAATCAATTATAAAAAACATAAAAACTTATAAAATACTCCATTAATATTTTTTATTGATGTTAATTTTATTAAATTTGATTGAAATATTTCTTTTATTTTTTTATGATTTTAAGATATTATATTTTTTTTTGATAAATTTATTTCTGCAAGATTTTTTCTTATAACTAAGCAAAAATAACAGTAATTATTTGAATTGCTTGATTTATAAGTTAAATAGAAGGTTGCAGCTTCAGGCCAATTGGATATAATTATTGATGTTTTTAAAATAAATTGAATGTTTTTGCCTTCAATTGAATAGTTGATTTTGTTTTTTGTTGAAATTAATGACTCAAGTAATATCTCTAGACATTTGTAAAAGGTTTCACATACAATCTTTTTAAAATTTTGTGATTGTTTTTCCATTATATTTTCCAATTTAATTATTGACAAATATTCTAATAGTTATTTTGTATCCGGTTTATTGCACCTCCAAGTTGATATATTCCCTAATGAAACATAAATTGGATATAAGAATCCTAATGATTCTGTATTTGATTCTCAAGTTTATATTACATTTAATAGGTGGGGTATATCCCACAATCATTTTTAATAGTGTTCCAAATCTTATGCGATTCCTTGCGATTCTGTTTGATTCCAATTTTCGGAACCATAATTGGATGTAATGAACTCTTTCCCAAAATATCACAATTTGTTGTATCAGAATATAATATTATTGAAAGTAATTTAAAACTGGGTGAAATAGAATTCTCTACATCCTTTCACCAGTCACAATTATTTTATTCTTTATATATTCTTTTTTTACCATTCTATAAATGAATAAATCATAAGTAAAAAAAAATTAAACATTTAATAAAATGATTTAATTACTGGTGTAAGAGGGAAAATAAAAACAATAGCAACACGATTAGGGTCATGTGACTGATAATTGACCTGAAATCGCGAGAAGAAATGAAAGGTAAAAATATATATGAAATCAGCGCTTATAATGAAATAATAATGATATAATTAGTATTAGAGTAGATAATAGCACTAGAAAATAGTTAAAATTCTCTTACCTTTCGTTATGTTTTCAAATTATTCTTAAACTTTCTTTATAAAAAAAGTAAAAATGTTAGCATTTATTTTTTAAAATAAAAAGAACGTAGATAATGGTAACTAAAGTAAATTAATAAAGAGAAAATACTTACCTTGGTCAAATCGAATGTCTTACCAAAACCATTCCCCATTATACCAAATTATTTTGATATAAAATTTCAAATTTTTCTGCAAAATCTTGAAAGATATTAGGAACCTCCAAAATATTTTTAATAC